TATTCATAATAAATAAAAAAGTGGAGACTTCAAATCATTTCCTTATCCATGATAATAATTATAGAATTTTCACCGTAAATTTTATATAAGACACGTTTCTCTACACAGTAGCTTCATCATTACATAAAACTATTCCACAATGTTTTTATATAACGGTAGGTAATTAGAAAACTTATTAGATAAAAAATTAAATCTAGTAAAACAGGTAGGTTCTGAAAAAAAAATCACAATACAATATTACTTCCAAGAAAACGGGTAAAATATTGGCTCTTTTATGTCAAGACTTCTTAGATAAATGATTAATTCTGGCAAAACAGAATGAAAAATGTTGATTATTGACATTTTATGAAAACGAGTTAAATCATGGTGAATGGAAAACTTTTTGGTTGTCATCTGAAAAGAAATGTTCGCATTTATTGATTTCTACATATTTCAGCAGGTTTAATTTTTATCCTTTGTTTTCTGTATGTATGTAATATGTTGTAGTCCATGTTGAAATTGTGGTTATTCTCTGAAAGGTGGCAAGCATAGATGGAATTAGTTTTCTTTAGCTCAAAATTTCTCTATGTTCGGAAGTTCTTGTATTTTGAAATTCCTTGAAGTCCTTCCATTTATCTAATTAAATGATGACATAAAATGCCATTATTTCACCTGTTTTCCTAGAAATAATAGTGTATTGTGATTTTTTTTTCAGAATCTGTTGGACCAGATTTATTTATTTATGTTATAAGTTTTGTCATTACCCACTGTGATATAAAAAAAAACATTGTAGTTTAATGTACCAGTTTGATGAACGTACTGTGTAGCCACACGTGTCGTAAATGAAATTTTTTGTGAAAATTGTATAGTTATTACCATGGATAGTGTTATTAATTTTCATCAATAACGGGTCAAAGTATTAATAATTTCGATTACCTTAAGCAATAGTAAAATATATGATCCTTCAGCGAAATTCCGAGTACCTATCTGAGTAAATGAAACTGAGTCAATCAAATGGAAAAATATTCCCATTGAGAACTGCACAAATACCCAAATTTCTAGGGATTTGTATAGACACTAAACTTAAATTTGAAAACAATATCATAAATATGCATACAAATTGAGATCTATGTACTTTGCTGTTAGGTTAGTCTCTAGAGAACTTGGGCCCTCGGCTGTAAAAGCATTTATTATGCCTTGATACAGTCCCATTCAAGACATTGTATTCCATTCTGGGGAGTTGGAAACATCAGTCTCATGGAGTTAAAACTGTATGATAAAGACACATTTCAGCAAGTTCAACACACTCCTCACAATATTCTTGCCACAGTAAAAACGAAGTCAAATCAGTATGAAAATTCCTCCCACACCAGTACATAAATACTGTCTTAGATGATTAAAACTGTTTTTTGGTTTAAATGAAATTTATCTCTGACTCTCAGAAAGAAAATTCAACACTTTAATTAATTGAAAAATAAATATGGCGATTCTATCGAAATAACTTTACTAAACATACTTTCTCTTGATGCACCTTTCACTAACCAAGTAAGCATCATCATGGGAGATGACAGTTTTAGTCATCTAATGATGCTTACTTGGTTAGCCACATGTGAGTCAATATACAGTATTTTTGTTTTTGTGTGGAAAGATTGATTTCTTATTTTTATTCAATAGTTTTTCATCCACATGCACACAATTGTTGTGAAAACTAGCAATTCCACTGAATAAATGAATAAAATTTTTGCGAATACATTAATTTTTTTGTTCCAGTTGTTTCAAAGACATCCATCGCTCTTTTTTCTATTTATCAATTCCTTTTTTTTGCTTTCCCTTCTGTCAGATTCTCATTCTTTCTTCTTCTACCGTGTCCNTCAGAAAATAGTTTATGAATTTTTGCCTGGTTATTCGTTCAATAGTGTTATCAGATTTGACCTGGACCATTAACTCGATTGTCATCAAGGTTAACTTTTTCTGATTTTTTTTATCGAGAATGTATTCCTCATTCCAGTGTTTCCATACTTTTGAAAAACCCAATGTAGTGTAAAAATCCTCACGAGAAGAACACCATACTAATTAACTTTTGATGTTGCCCATGTAAAATCTCACAACATTGTTGAATAAAAGTAAAATTCTTGAATACTTACAAGTTTTCTTTTATTGAAACTGTTATTGGTTAGTACTGAGACATGTCTTTTGTTGTGGAAATGCTGGCTCTTATGAATTTGGTCATCATTCTTAAGTAAATTGTAGAGTCCATCATTTTCATAAATCATTCTTTTTAAATAATAATATTAACAAGATTCATGAGAAATAAAGTGTCAGATGCATAATTTTCAGATTGATTCGGCCGTTACTTGATGAAGATCGATAATAATTTCAAAAACTACACCTTACGATTTGATCTTCACAAACTTTATTTGAAATATATCACGACATGTTTCGCTAACACAGAAGCTTCTTCAACAGTGATTTGAATGAAACGGGGATCCTGTTTGGATTTTATCCTTTAGAATCATTCAATGTTTTCACTTGTTCTAGTTATTTGTAGTATTAGTGAATTTCGGTTCATTTCTTATATACGAAATGAAGAAATTAGTTATTTATTTTTGGAGGAATATTTCACTTAAAAAATAGGGTATGCTAGGTACTTATATTTTCAGAATACTGCATATTTCGATGATAAAAACTATTAGTTATATCAATTCTAAAGTAAATTGTGAAAATCTCTCATTTGTATTTTTGAAATGTTTACTGTTTAGTAAGTTTTGAATAAATTTTTGCATTATCATTACGATAGGAGGCTTACTCTTTTAAATTTTCACAAACAGTAGGAAAACATTTTCTCAACAAACTGTTTCATTGGTCAACAATCTTGTTGAAATTCTGCCCATTTTATAACAGGAGCAAATGTTTTTATACAATTGAACAGGCCATTCAATGTATGTTGAATTTTACAGGTACAATGATAAAACAAGAATGTTAGTGAGAACCATAAAACCAATAAAGGCTGGAGAAGTGATTTATGATAATTATAGCCCAAACTACTTATTCATGAAACTGCAAGATAGGCAGCACACCCTATTGACGGACTTTTATTTCAAATGTGCTTGCGTACCATTCAAATCGTTATTTTTAACACCTCGACACGTGTTTCGTTCACCAAGTGATCGAAACACGTGTTGAGGTGTTAAAAATAACGATTTGGTGTTGGGAAAAACTCCAGTAATATTCATAATCTGCATTGAATATTTATGTTACGTTTTTGATTCAGAAGTGTGATCCTCACAACAGGAAAAAATAGATCACCTGAAACAATTTCAATAATAGTGTTGACATACATGTTATGGCTTTCTACTTCTCTGTCTTTATACAAAAAATGCAGGCATCTCTCAAACTATTTCTACAAATATAATAATCCATCAACCGAGACTTCAAAATAGTTATTGTTTACAATTTACAGTAGTAGATAAACGTCTTGTTTTTGTTTTTTAATTCGTTCAGAACGACAGAAAAATCTATGTTTTTTGAATAAT